AATCCCAGCACTCGGGAGGCAAAGGCAGGCGGATCTCTGTGAGTTTGAAGTCAGCGTGGTCTACAGAACGAGTTCTGGGACAGGCTCCAAAGCTACACAGAGAAACCCTGTCTCGGAAAAAAAAAAAAAAAAAAAAAGAAACAGAGTTTAGGAAAGCATATGGGGTTCCCAGTGTGGTTGTAGGAGTGGAGGCTTATTCTTCTGAAATAGGAGACAAAGTAGTTTATCCTGGTGTCCTCCAAAGCTTAAGAGAACAGGGTCCTGTTGCAGACACTGTGTATGAGGGGTGAGTCTCAGGTGGAGAAGAAGTAAAGGACTTGAGGTGGGATAAGTGAATCCAGTGGAGGAGGCCCTCAAGCTTAGCAGCTGTTGGATTGACAAGAATCACCTTGAAGGGGCCCTGCCATTTACGGGACAAGAGCAGAGGGGTGTTGGTCTGGAGGAGAGAGAAGGACCTGGTCCCTGATATTAATTGGGGATATACAGGGATTGGCACATGGTTGAGGTAAAGAGTGATCAGTAAAGTTCCATAAGAAGGAACAGAGATGATGAAGTAAGGGTGTAAGCAGGTGGAAAGGGAGAGGTGAGGGTTTAGGTGAGAGACCGGTGTCAGAACTGAGTTCAAAGGGTGAGATGAAAAGGGGTCATTTGGGGAGAGCTCTAAGCCTGAAAAGAGTCAGAGGCAAGAGCTTTACCCAATCAAGGTGAAGTTCCTGTGACATTTTAACAAGAACATTTTTTAAAGAACAGTTAGTTTGCTCTACCTTCCCTGAGGACTGGTGATGATATGGGATATGAAAACTCCAAGGGATGTTGAGAGTTTTAGACAGGGTTTGGGAGATCTGTGAGGTGAACTCAGGACCATTGTCTGGCTGAAGAGAGGCTGGAATTCCAAATTCCAAACTGGGGAATAATTTCCCTGAGAAGGATGTCAGAGACTGACTGACTGGGCCTTTTTGTTAGTGGTTGGAAATGCTTCTCCCCACCTCGAGAAGGTATCAACTAATTCCAGGAGATATTTAACTAGGTAGACGTATATTTTAATAGTTCCCCTTTCATAACTTTCTTTAGTTCACTCCCAGTTTGATAAGATGCATTTTGAACTTATCTGTCTACTTTTATCATATGCTATATGTATGATGTGAGAATCATACATTATATTTCCTTCTTTTTTCCCATCTTTGTTTTGTTTTCATTATATCTTATACTTCTATATGTTTCTAATATATGAATATATACATGTATATTAATTTAAACGTTTAGTGTGTTTTCAGTCTTGGTGTCTTGGTGTGTGTTTGATGATACTCAGGATTGAGCTAGAACCTCACACATGCTAAACAAGCACCTAGCTAAGTCCCTAGCATTCACTTAGCTTTAAAATGTATTACATTTTTAAAAATTCAGTTTGTTTTTGTCTATGACAGGGTTTCTCTAGATAGCCTAGCCTGTTGGGACCCACTATGTAAGACCAGGCTTGTTTTGAGTTTGAAAGAGTTCTGCCTGCTTCTGCCTCTCAAATGCTGCCATTATAGGTGTGTGCTACCACATCCAGTTCCAAATATTATGTCACTTGGAAGTTTGAAAGGATTATTTGGAGTGCTGTTGCCCTGTAGTTTAAGGCTTGTCTCCAGCTCTGGTTTTGTTTTGAGAGTCTCATATAAGCCCTGGCTAGCCTGGACTTTATAGACCAGGTTGGCCTTGAACTCATAGAGATCTGCCTTCAAAATACTGGGATTAAAGGCATGTGCCATCATACCTGATATTGCTTCAGCTGTTTACCCCCTTTGTTCACTTCTTTCAGAGCTAGAATTGAAGATATGTGCCACTACATTCAGTTTCAAGTGTCTTTTATATTTATTATCATCTTTACTGCTTAGGTGTTCTTCACTCCTGGGTCTTGCACTAGCGCCCTTTTCTTTGCTGCTGCTGCTGTTGCTTCTTCTTCTTCTTCTTCTTCTTCTTCTTCTTCTTCTTCTTCTTCTTCTTCTTCTTCTTCTTCCTCTTCTTCCTCTTCTTCCTCTTCTTCCTCTTCTTCCTCTTCTTCTCTTCTTTTTTCTTTTCCCATAAGGTCTCAGTCTTGCAGTCCAGGCTGGCTTGGAACTTACTGTGTAAATCTGACTTGCCTGGAACTCATGTCTGTCTGCCTGCCTCAATCTCTGGAGTGCTGGGGATACATGAGTGGGCCACTGTATCAGGCTGCCAGCTTATATGATTTCTAATAAGAAAAGTGCTATACTTTTCATATGTCTGCACATTTATTTGTGTGTGTGTGTGTGTGTTGTGTGTGTCCATGTGTGTCATGGTCACTTGTGGACGTCAAAGAGCAGTTTTCAAGAGTAGATTTTCTCCTTCTATCATATACTCTGGGGATTGACTTCAGCTAGGAATCAAACCCAATTTAGGGATAGAACTGAGGTCATCCGGCTTCCGTGGCTTGAGCCTTTTTTCTTGCTGAGCCAGCTTGCCACCCTGATAATGGCTTTTGTGACTTCATCAGTGAACTATATTACTGTTTTTTTCAGGAAATGGTTGATAAGTGTATTATAGATTTTGTTGTGTATTTTCTTTTTATTGTTATTTTACTTGGAATTTATTGAATTTCTTGGGTCCATTATTTTTTCATAGGTTTTTATTTTTAATTTTTGCTGAAAGTGTTCTCCCCCCATTCTTCAGGCCTACTAACGTTAGCATATGTTGTCCTGTAGACACTCCTGCACCTAGCCTTTATGCTCCTTTTTTTAAATCCCTTTTCTTCCTTTCTGTACTTTATTTTGGTTGGTTTCTGTTGCTACATTTTAAGCTCTACTGCTCTTTATTCTGTAATACCTAATGCTTTCATTTCAAATATGTTTTGCCCTGTAGAAGTTGTTTGTCTTCTTAATGGCTTCTATTCCTTTCCTCCTCATCTTCAATTTTCTTCCTCATCCTCAAACATGGAACATATTTTTTTCCCTTTTTTTTTTTTTTTTTTTTTTGGTTTTTCGAGACAGGGTTTCTCTGTAGCTTTGGAGCCTATCCTGGAACTCACTCTGTCGACCAGGCTGTCCTTGAATTCACAGAGACCCACCTGCCTCTGCCTCCTGAGTGCTGGGAATAAAGGCATGTGCCACCAACACCTGGCCTAACATGGAACATATTATAATAGCTTTTTGATGTTTATCTAATTCATAACCTCTATTTTACCTTGATTTCTATCTTTTGGTTACTTTTCTTGCCTCACTATTCTGGATATAGGTTACAGTTAATGTGCCTGGCTTTTGAAAATTGTTTTAAGCTGTGCATGGTGGCCCACACCTTTAATCCCAGCACTTGGGAGGCTGAGGGAGATACTCTTGAGTTTGAGGCCAGCCTGCTCTACATAGTGAGTTCCAAGACAGCCAGGGTTAACACAGAGAAACCCTGTCTCAAAAAAAAAAAAAAAGTTTTAAATATTCCTATAAATACTGTTGAATTTTTTTCAGTGTTGCTTTTAGGTAACTTGGGGCCAGTTTGATATTTCAAGATTGCTTTGGTCTTTGTTAACAGAGTGTGTGCAATCTGTGATACCTCCTTTGCCATGATGAACACATCTAAGTGTTCACCCAGATGCCTCATGTGTGGTTAAGTCTTTGTTCCCCTGGCAAATGTCGTCCCAAACTATTCCCACCTCATCCTGAGTTCAGGGATTTGTTTGATTTACTTTGTGGTGGTGTTATTCCCTCACCATGTGATCTTTTATACTTCGAATGTGCAGATTGATACTTAAACACAGACTCTCTGGCCCTCTCTGTAGGTCTTTGAAAGTCTTGCTGTTTGAGACCCTACTGTGTGTCTCTTCTCTGCAAGTATGACTGCTGTGACTTCTTCAGTCTTATGTCTACCTCATAAACCAAGCCATTTGAGTTTCCCTCTAGTACTACCTTCTAGAAATGCTACCATCTAGACCATGTTTGCTGAGAAGGAAAGGGCCAATTCTAGGACCTACCTCACCCCCTTCCCCCTAAGGATACAGCTATTTCTTGACCAGTGTCTGAAACAGGCATTGAGTATAAGTTTCTACAGGAAAGGATAGTTTGCCTGTCAGCTTAACCTTTATTAGGTGAAACACAAATCACAGCTATAGTAATTGCAGAAAGAAACACTGGTGGTTAAGTTTGTGCCCTTTATAGTTGTCACATTTTTCAATAAAGATCCAATACTTTTACTTGAAAGGCAAAAGGCCTTATAGAAATCTGAAGATAAGTAGATTGAGATGGCTTTGAGTTACGATGATGAAGTCTGTAGATGATAGCAATATAGATGTGTAAAGGCAAACAACCAAACAACTCTAAAGAAGCAGGATGTGAGGGAAATAGTGGCAAACAAATGTGCTTATTGTAAGAGAAAAGGTTCTTGAAAAAGTTAGCTTAACTTATAAATACAGAACTGTGGCCATTAATTCATCTTTTAATTTTCATTTATTTTGATGTTTAGAGACGGGGTCTCCTTCTGTAGCTCCATTATCCTGAAACATACTATGCATTCAAGGCTAGCCTCTGACTCACAGAAATCCTCCTACTCCTGCCTCCTTCTTGGTGAAATTGCAGACATAAGCCACTATGCCTGTTTGAGAGGTGTAGTATAGTAAAACTGAAGTCCATTCATTTTATGTTTTGTCCCCCAGCAGTTTATTTTAATTAATGTATAAAAAGCATCCAGGAAAGTGATAGCTATTAGAACTGCTTTTTCAGATTAATAAATGGAATATAGCCCCTTGTGGCCTTGTAAAGATGAAATGATAAATAAAAGTGGAATTACCTAATTTTGACCTTGCAGATAGGGTTGGAATGTTTATTTCATAGGGCACATTCAGTTACCACAGCCCCTGAAAGATTGTTTTAAATGTTACATTTAAAGGAAAGTTTAAAGTCAATTGATGCTGAAAATAAAAACTTAATTTCTTTTTCCTCTTGCAGTAAATTATAAGTGGTCAGAGTTTTGAGCAGTCTTGTTTTGTGAATTGACTGTTGTCTCTGCTGCAGGCGCTCCGGTACTTGGCTGAGTGTCGTGCAAACAGAGAGAAGATGAAGGGAGAGCTGGGGATGATGTTAAGCTTACAGAATGTCATACAGAAGTAAGTACAGAGGAGGAAGAGAAGTGGGTCTGTATGAGCCAATTGATGACTCAAGCTTACTGACATTTTATTTTCTTTTATAAGTTCATAATATTATTTAGAAATTTTAACTATAACAAGTTAGGCTTCTGTAAGTTTTGTGTCCAAAAATATTTTTCTAGTGAATATTAATTTTCTGTGTAGCCATGGATGTCCTGGAACTCGCTCTGCAGACCAGGCTGGCCTTGAACTCAGAGATCTGTTTGTCTCTGCCTCTTTCTTGAGTTCTGGCATTAAAAGTGTGTGCTCCCCTGCCAGGCTGTTAATTTTTTTTTTTTTTATTGGTAAAGATGGTTATTAACAGTACTTATATATGTTTTATTTAAAATGTTGAAATTCATCCTGTCATTTTGGGGATATTAATAAGTATTCCATAATTTGCTTCTCCTGTATTATACTGATAATCCTAGGACATTTGCAACTGATGTGGCAGAAATAGGGCAACAGGGTTTTTTGTCCAGATTTCAAGACAGCTGAATATCTGTGACTCCAAACATTTCTTTCCCACTGTTTTTTTTTTTTAATTTTTAAAAAATTTTTATTTCATGTGCATTGGTGTTTTTGCCTGCATGTATGTCTATATGGGTTGTCGGATCCCCTGGAACTGGAGTTATAGACAGTTGTGAGCTGCCATGTGGGCAGCTGGGGATTGAACCTGGGTCCTCTGAAAGAACAGCCAGAACTCTTAACCATTGAGACATCTCTTCTCCCCCTCCCCCACTGTATTTTCTATTCCATTAATTTCTGTGTGTTCATTTATGCTGTAAAGATTTAAAATTGGCTATTTCCTACTGGCTAAAAAAGGATTTCAAGAAATCACTTGCTCATGGACCATTGCCTAAAAGTAAAAGAATACTATATGTGTGTTTATTTTATTTTTGAGACAGAGTCTTCAGAGCTCAGGCTGGCCTCAAACTTACTCACTCTGTAGTTAAGAATGATCTTGCACTACTGATCTTCCTGCCTTTACTTCCAGAGTGCTGTTACTGCAAGTGTGGGTGTGGGTATGGGTTGGGGGGAGTAAACTCAGGGCTTCATCTCTGCTAGTCAAGCACTTTTTCAGCTGAGCCGCAGCTCCAGCAGCGTGTGTGTGTGTGTGTGTGGGGGGGGTGGGGTGTGGGAAGAGTTTGTGTGTGGGGAAGTGTGGGAGTGTGTGTGTGGGGGGGAGTGTATATATGAGGTGTGTTAGGAGGAGTGTGTGTGTGTGAACATGTGTGTGTGAGATCATTTTTTTTTTTCTAAAGAAAAAGTCTTACACTGAATGAAGCTTTATAAAGTACATGAGTTGATTTGGTAGCAGAGCAGCCAGACAGCTAGTCACAGTAAATGGTCTACAGTGGAATATCATGGAGGACTGTCCCTATTACTTATCTTATGGGGCTTTACTCAAAGGGCCATGATCATGGTCACTTCACCATGGTCATGGAAATTCAGTTTCTTTTGGTAAGGTTGTTGTGAATCTAATTGAAAGCTTATGGAAACAAATCAGTGGCATGTGTATTTCTTAAACAGGCATAGTTATTGAAGTTGAAAGTAAGTGGTACAAAAAAACATGTGGAAAATTAGATTTCAAAGCAGTGTTAAAGCCTGGAGGTGGTGGAGCACACCATTAATCCCATTACATTACTCCAGAGAGGCAGGGGAATCTTTTGAGTTTCAGGCCAGTCTGTCTACAGAATGAGTTTCAAGACAGCCAGGGCTACAAAGGGAAACCCTATCTCAAAAAACAAACAAACAAAAAAACAGAAAAAGGAGTGTTGAAAGCCAGGTGTTATTACTCATACCTAAGATTCCAGCATCCAGAAGTCTGAAGCACAGGATTGCCAGGAGCTAGAGTCAGCTAGACTCTGGAGACTGCTTTGAAAAACAGTGAGAGGCTCATCCCGAGATCCACCCACAGTCAATCACAACTATCTGAAATGCCAGGTTTAGGGGATCTGAACTCCTCTTCCAGCCTCTGTGGACACTGCATGCATGTAGTGCATAGACATACATACAGACAAAACATCTGTACACATAAAAATAGTGTTTTTAAAAAAAATGTTTAAAAACTAAAATACATTTTACATTTGAACTTTTAAAAATTTAGTGAGTTCAGTTAACATACACTTTAACCTATAAAGCAATTTCTTAACCTAGTTGGCTCAAGAATGTGGTAAAGTGTGTATATGTGAAAAAGATACATTGGCAAAGTAGGGAGACTGCCGTGAAGTTACTGAGAGAAACTGAAGACATCTTGGCAGGGCAGCAGGGAAGGAGATCTAAGATAAAGTTAGAAAAGTAGATTAATGCCTTAGACATAAATAAGGCTGGAACATGAATGGGCAGTACACTTTCAACAAGGAAGGAACAGATGGGCAGAGTGTGATTACAGTATAGATGTGACAGCCATCCCAGTGGACAGCTGCAAGCCCAAAGAATGCCTTTTAGATCAGTCCTACACTGAACAGAATGACATCTTATTGGAGGCTGCCTGGGAAGAACTTCCCCTGCCCTTGGATTTGTGATGGTTCCAAAGCTGCTATGTTTGCTACTTTACTGTAGCAGAACAGTCCTTTATTTAGTGTATCTAATTTTGCTTTTTAAATTTATTTTTGCCTGGCTGTAGAGATCAGAGGCCTTTAACAAAACACTGAGCTATCTCATTGGCTTGTAGGGCAGTGTGCACTTGTATGCATGTGTGTGCACAAGTCTGTCTGTTTAAACCAATTCTATTCAGAGGCTTGAAGGACAGTTGGACCTAAAGACATCCACTGGATCTATCTTCTGTGTTGGTGGGCCAGATCTTCCTTGTCATTAAAAGCTATAAAGGCCTTTTTCTGAGGGGGATCCAAGCGGTGTGTCTGTATGGCTTCTGAAAGTAACTTATTTTTTTTTTAAGTGAAGTATACATTTTTAGAACAATGTGGGGATTGCTTGTTTCACTAATAATAACACCCCCATTCTCATTTTTTGAAGGTCCCCTTCCAAGCTTCTTAAGTATTGATCTTGTTTCCCTAGCTCCCCTTTCAAGCTTGGGGAAAGTTACTTCTGTTCACCAGAATAAGCATTAGAAGTATCTACATTTAAATTCTGTGTTAATATAGCTAGTCTAGTTAGCCTGGTCAGTCACTGCCTGCTTAGTGTTAACATTACAAGCAGACTCTCATGCTACCTGGCATTTCCGTGGGTGCTTGGGATCCAAACTCCATTTCTCATGCTGCATGGCACATGCTTTCCCTGTTGAGCTGTCTTCCTGGCTTTGTTAGTATTTCTTTAAATGGCATTATTCTTATGCTTGCCAGCAGTTTCCATCTTACTGGATTGTTTTTCAAACATTGAAAAATATCCGCATTGCAGCTCTCTGTCTGTCCAGTTCAACTTTAAAAATAACTTAAGCTACCTGAATTGACATAAAAGAGATGGTTCAAGCAAAAATTATAGTAGCAGAGAAATTTGACAACCTGATCCTCACTACTTGACTTCTTTTTTAATGATTTTATTTAAATGTACTTTTGTACTATGCCGGGATAGATTCCAAATCTCAGTGAATCATATTTTAAATGAAATTAGGAGATTATTACCGCCTAGCCAGGCATAGTGGCTTATTATGTGTGTCTTAGGGTTTCTGTTGCTGTGAAGAGTCACCATGACCACAACAAATCTTAAAGGAAAGCTAAGGTTGGCTTATAGTCCATTGTTATCACAGCAGGAAGCATGGTGGCATGCGGGCCGATGTGCTCTAGAAGGAGCTGAGAGTTCTACATCTAGATCTGTAGGCAGTTGGAAGGCTGGAGCACTTGAAACCTCAAAGCCAACCACCAGTGACACACTTCTTCCAACAAGGCCTCACTTAATTGTGCCACTCCCTATGAAGCAGTAGGGGGCGTTTTCATTCAAAGCATCAAAATGAGGTAGAGAAAGTTAGCCTTGACTATGTAAAAGTTGAGGGGTGATCATACAGACTAGATGCTTTCCCTACATTATTCTTGCTCTGTCCTTCTAATTCTTTAAATGAAGTAGAGTCTTGTGTTTTAAACTGGTCTCAAGCTTGTGTGGCCAAGGAGAACTTGAACTTCTGATTCTCTTGCCTATACCTCTTGAGTGCTGTTACTATGGTAGAGTGCCATGCACCTTGTGTATGTCTATCTGGAAATTGAACACAGGGCTCTGTGTATGTCAGGTAAGCACTCTGCCATCTGAACTACATCCCCAGTTCCCTTTATTCATTATTCTAAGACTCATTGGGTTGCGTTTTTATTGAACAAAGTATCAGGATGAAGGAAACAAAACTCAAGTAGAGAAGTAAAATTACAGAATCAGCGAAAGTGACCTTATGTGTTTCTTTTCAAGGACTACAACTCCAGGAGAAACAAAACTTCTGGCTTCTGAAATCTATGACATCCTTCAATCCTCCAATATGGCTGATGGTGATAGTTTTAATGAAGTGAATTCACGTCGGAGGAAAGCTCAGTTTTTTCTGGGAACTACAAACAAACGTGCCAAAACAGTAGTTTTGCAGATAGATGGCCTTGATGATACGGTAAGATTTACAGATGTGGTTCGTAAGATGGCAAGAGAAATTGTATCACCACTTTCTTTACAGTTACTTGCTAAGATTCTCTAAGAAAAAGTTGCAATATTAATATTTTATACTCTTGACAAAAGGTACATCTTATGTTAAAGATATTGGTTAATGGGCATACATAGCAGTTTTAAATGTCCATGATCTTAACAGTGGTGTTTAAAGAATATGCAGTCAAACACCTGAACTGACAGACATACAAGAAGCAGACAGGTCTAATTAGAGCTGTGCATGATTTATATAGATGAGATATATACTAATGTCAGAAATGAGGTAGACACCATTAGGGCTTGTAGGCATTAAAGGGTCTCTGGGAAGCATAACTTTCACGGGCTCATCTGTATTGTAGCATGTATCTGTACATCATTTCTTTGTATGTATTCCATCAAATGGATATGGAGTACTTTGCTTATCCATTTATCAGTTGATGGTCAGGTGAGTTGTTTCTACATCTTGGCTCTTAGAAATCTTCTAGGAGCATGTTTGTACATATTAATATCCTCTTGAGTATATATCTAGTGGCATTGCTCAGGCATACAGTAATTATAAGTTTCATTTTTAATGGACTGTCAGATTGTGCATTGTGGCTGCAAAATTTTATATTACAACCGGCATTGCATGAGGAGCCTAGTTTCTCCATGTCCTCTTCAGCATTTGCCATTTTCCAGCTGTCGTAGTGGATTTGAAATGTTGGCTTATGGCAACATTCCTGATAACTAATGCTGAGTAACATTTTAGAAATGTAGTAGTCATTTTTTTTTTTTTTTTTTTTTTTTTTTTTTAAATTTTTTTGGGGTTTTTTTTTTTTTTTTTTTTTTTTTTTTTTTTTTTTT